CCCCTCCTTCCCCCCTGCTCCACCACCACCGCGCCTCCCGAGGGAACCCTGACGTTGCTTTCCTTCGAGTTTAAAGAGGTCCGCGGCCTCCCAGAGCCAGCAGCTGTCCTCCTCGAGGGGAGGCATGAGTGGGGCCGGGGGGGCTCAGAGCCTCCCGGGGTGGGTTTCGACAAATTGCGTCCCCCAGCCAGCCCCCCACCCCAGCTCTGTCGGCGCAGAGGGCCCCTGAAGGGTGCCAGGCCAAATGCCACCATCCCTGCTTGGCTTCTCAAAGTGCCCTCACATGGGAGCAGAAGTTTTTTTGGGGGTTCAGGTGTGGTTTACTCCTGGGGAGGGAGGGGGGAGCAAAGGCAGGAGGATGTTGGGGACTTTGCTGTTGATTTGGAGAGTGAGGACTGGGGGGAGGATGGGGAAGCCAGGGAGACCCCTAACTTTGGGGGACGCTGTGCTGTGCCCAACAGACACTTCTGCAAGTGTGGCACTCAGAGGACACACTACCACCTCTTGGGGGAGCAGGACTTCTGCTAGTCTTGCCCTTGGCTTGCCAGACCTGCTGGGAGGAGGTGGCACCTGGGCACGTCTCTGGACCTCAACAGTTCCTCTCCCTCTGCTTGAGCCGAGCTCCCAGCTGCTGGCTGTGAGTCCACGGCAGCGGTTTGGCCTCCTTGTGTCTCTCTGACTTGCACATCTTTTAAAAATTTTATTTTGGGGTGACAGTTGAGCAAAATCCCGCACCTGCCATCTTCTCTGAAGTGCCACATCCATGACATCCATGCCTGTGTTCATGGCACAAAAGGATGAACCACAGAGCCCGTTCTTCCCTCTGCATCCCTCGCAGCATCTAAGGAGATGTACGAGGGAAGCTCAAATGCCCCCAGACTGTGATCTTGGCTCTGCAGGGGAAGAAGGTTCCTCAGCATGGCATGCTGTAGCCGCCACATCCTCCCTGCCACATCAGAAATGCTTCCTCCAGCCAGCATCCCTGGAGCAGGTCTGTCACCCTCCGTGGTTGGTCATGGGGATGATGCACACATTTGAAATCTTGAAGTAGACCACCAGAAGTAAAGCAGAGCAAGCGAGACAAGGCCTTGGTCATCTACTGTATGAAGAGGTGTTTAGGTGTTAGGATTTGCAAGAATCTCAGATGTCTCATCCATTCAAGAAGGGGCTCCTTGCAGTCTTTCCGCTCTTCTCTGTTGCATTCCTGGCAAAGGATGGTGGTTTTGCCAAGGGCACTTGCTCAGGTCCCTGCAGACAGAAGATACCTTCAGGGGGAATTCCTAGTCTTTCTCATTTGACATCAGGGCTTCACTGGCAAATGCTGCTCTCCTAAGCTGGATCACCTGGTACTCAGAAAGGTACCAGTAATGCTTCCTGGGAAGAGGGAGCTCTGCAGCAGTCTGGGCTTTCTGCTGACTCTGTGAGATGGACAGAGCAGTGAAGGTAGATAAACTCAAGGGGAGGTGGAGGCAGAGAGAGTGAGACCAGCTTCTGCTGTCATGTGAGGGAGACCATCCCCATCTCTTCCTTGTGTTACTTCAGTCTCCTCTTCCTTGTGCATGGGGTATTTCAAGGACATGAGAGATTTTCAGGGATTCCTACTGCCCTGGAACAATTCCCAGAAGGCAATTGATGAAGAAAGAAAACCCACATGGTTGTTGCATCTTGCCACCATGGTCCAGATCCCAAAATGCCAACCCAACTTGCTCACCTTTCAGTTTGGTGAGCCTTCCCTGCACATCACAGCGCACAGGTTCACCTTCCTGGAGCCCACACCCCTTTCCTGCCAGGCCATGTGACAACGATGACTTGCAGAAACAACCACCAACGTGTTTATGGAGTGGTGGACAGCCTGCTCTGGAAGAGATGGTTCTTGGGCAAGTTCAGGATGCAGCACAGTGGTGCAGCATGGTATGGAAGCATACCCACTAGGCCATCTGCAGGTGGGCTAACAAAGGGGCATTGATGCAGGAAGACTTCCCATGGAAGTCCAGCAAACTCTGTCCTTATACTGGGGAGAGCAGGTCTTGTAACTAAATCTTGCTGGGACTGTATCCTGGCAGCCAACCCCACTTCTTGGGGCTATCTCTACCTTTCTTCACCCCCCCTGCTTCTAGGAGTCATGCAAAAGTGAGCCAAGGCATCACTTTTGCCCCCTAAAAGTAGCCCTTGAGATGGTCATGGGTCAGGTGCATGCTCCACAGACATTCATGTCCCTGTGGACATTTCCTGTTCCTGAATCTACTCTCACATCACTTGCTATTCTGGTGCTCTGTTCCTAACAGCCTGGTACAGCACAGTACTTATTTCCTAACCACAGGAGGACTGATGTCCCCCAGATTTCCCCCTCCATCACTCACAGCGTTCTGTCAGAGCACCAGGACCGAGCCATTAGTGCTTGATGGTTTTACAGGCCACCCTGTGCCAAAGCCACAGGGCACATCTCCATCCAGACACAGGACAGATGGCCAGCTCTCCCATCAAGGATGCACCCGTGATGGGACCAGCTCTTGGGAGCCATCCTGTTCAGATGGATGTCATTCCACGTGCCTTCCTGTGCTTCACTCCATGGGGATGTGGTTTCTGGGCACTGCTGTGCTGCTCAAAACACTTTAAGGTCTCTGCTCTGAGAAGCAGCAAAGTATGCAGCCTGTCTGTGAGAACAGACAGTTTGGTCACTGATGGAAACTCTTCCTTTCATGGGAATCCATTCCTCCTTCACTGTGCAGAGAATTTCAGTATGAAAGACAGAGTCTGATGTGTGCTGGGTACACTAAAATCCCCCCTGCCAGGAAGGGTGGGTGGAAGATCACTGTCTTACTTCCTTTTTGCACAAAGTTCTTGAACATGAAAATTTTGCAGTCATCATCTCCCCTTCAGACACCTCAAGCCAGTGCACATCCAGCTCTGCCAAGGTGCTGCTTTACGGACTCCTGGACCTGGATATTTCCTCTTGATCATCCCACTTAATAGTCTCCAACGTTGTTATCAATCCTCTTTCCAATGCATTTAGGTGTGTCAGGTCTCAAAGGGGATGGCTTGCCCAGCCTTTGCTGTGCCTGCACCCCGAACAGCTCCCATTCCGGGTCATCGCAATCCCTAGTTCACATCCAAAATGTCAGGACTAATCTTGGTGGGGGCCTTTTTGGCCAGGGGGCTGCTTCCAAACCAGACGGTACCCCCTGAGAAGAGGAGATATCTTCTTCTCCCCTTTTCACACTGCTCTCAGCACATGGGTAGGGAATTGGCCAGGATCCCATGGGGAGTGCTTAATTTTTTGGCACTGGTGCTGAGACGGGTTCCTCTCTAGAAGGATCCTCCCAGCCCAGCAGTAATAGTCGATGTCTTTGCTGTTGTGAGGTTGCCCTTGCCCATTGACCATCCTGAATGTTGCAGTGCAGGTCGGAAGCCTGGCACAAGGGGAAGAAGAGGAGGCTGAGCCCAGAATCCCTGGGAGAGATGTACTTGAGTGGCCTCCTGGATGTGCAGAGAGAGGGAGGCACAGCCCAAATATCTCAGCCTGGCAGAGAGCTCAAGGCATCACCGGGTGGCCCGATTTTGGTAGCGTTCCTCACTGCAGCAACCCTAGGCAGGTCCTTACAGAGCAGAGGAGCACAAGGTGGGGGTCCGTCCTAGCCGCCTCCCTTGGGAAACCCAAACAAACCCCAATGTTGGAAGGCCCGAACAGCTGCCTCTGCTGAGACTCTTTAAACTCCAACCTGGTGGAACTTGCAGCCGCATGTGGGAGAGAGCCAGGGCGGGAGCATGGCATGTACAACTTTTCCTCCCGGTTTTGTTTTTTCAGCCAATTCAGCATGCCTTTTGCACTGGTGCATGGTGGGAAAGTGGTCCATCCGCAGAGCCAGACAGAAGCAACTGGGCATCTTCCTTTGACAAGTGACCCTGGCCCACTGCCTTCTATGCAAGATGCTGCCTCCCAATTGCATAGACCTTATGAGCTGGGGATACACAGCCTTCTGGCTATGGGTTAGGTGGCGATGCAAAGCAATACCCAGGCCCCCCCCGGGAGGGAAGACGCTATGGAGGCCACAGAGCACTGTGGTGCAAACCACCATTATCTCAAATAACCCATGGCTTGAGTGCCGTGTATCTGATTTATACCACTCGCACACAGCCCTGGAACCTGTAGGACAAGTCTGGGGGCTGCTGGAGGGCTTTAGGAAAGGGGTTGAGACCAGAGAAGGACTCCCAGACTGCTAGTGAGACAGGCGCTTGAGGCCAGCAGCAGAGATGAGAGGGGTGAGTTGCTTTCTGCCGGTATTCCTGGGCCTGTGTGAGCAGTGCTATAAATCCACATCAGGACAGTCTCTCATGTATGATTTGCCTTGATTAACGGGTTTCCTGTTCTTTTCCTGTTTGTCCGTTTGTTTTTTCTCTTCTGTTTTCCTGTACTATTTTTGTTTGTACGTTTTTCTGCTCTCTGGGAATGCCTCCTCTCTCTCTGCATCTCCCTCCCTCCCCTTCCCCCTTCATGAGCAGTGGCCGAATCCATTACACTGAGATGTATGAAATGCTGACTCTTATGTCACCACCGCTAGGCCTCGGCAAGAGATGTCCTTCCAAAGTGGCCTATAAGGTAGATCAACCCTTCCTTCTACGGGGGCTAGAGCTGAGCAGGAGCCGGGGCTCGAGGGAGCTGCGGGAGGTGGGGCTGGGGGGAGCCGGGGAGGCATTGGGGGTATCCAAAATGTGTTTAGCTTGCTCCTGGGGAGCCTGGTGTGCTCAAAAGAGTCCTGGCCACACTGGATGGTCTCCACTGCCCACGCACATGATGCTGCCGTGGTCACTCACAAGCCCGAGGAGCTCTGGGGTGGAAGACCCTAGTGGAAGAGGAGGGGCAGGATCAGCAATAGTGTGGAAGTGGGAGCATTGGAGAAGATGAGATGAAGAGCAACCCTGTAGCACAGTTGGGAGGGTGGGGTGTCCCCAGGAGCTCACTGGCCCAAGCTCGTCCCCTGGGCTTGGAACCATCTTTGTCCCAGCCAACACAGAAACAGGGCTAAAGCCCATGGAAATGGGAAGCAGGTGGGCAGCAAGGACATATCCTGAAGGAGCAGCTCTGCAGTTCGTGAGGAGCCAGGTACATTGGCACGAGCTATCCCAAGGATGGCTTGTGCAAGGCAAAGCCAGGTGCCTTCAGAAGCGGCTCTGAGTTTACTCCCCTTGCTCTTCCTGGGGTGGTGGCCGGCAGTTGACTCACAGCACAGGCACAGCGTGCTCCCGGCTGCGTAGGCATGGAGCAGGAGCATGAGAAGCCCTGAAGGACATGGAGTGGGAGCTGCGTGACTTTGCTGAGGGCAGCAGCTGCTAGGACAAGACCCAGAGGTAGAGAGCAATGTGTTGTCTAGGTCTGGAGCAAACTGAAGCTTTCATTGGCCACGGGCTGCTGCCTGTGTCTCTTTCAGCAGCATTCAGGGCTAGCGAAGGGGGGATTTCTGTACACTTGCAAACACGCTGCCATGCTCTCCGGCTCTCATGTGTTTGTTCACGTATGCATACCTCCACCATCGCACTTTTCAAGGAGAAAAAGGGAGTCTTGAAGGCAGGGAAAGGACCTGAGAAGCCGGGGGGAAAGGAATGGGCAGGGAAGGGATGACCCAAGGTATTCACAAAGCAAAATATACTCTCTGGAAAGTGGATCTGGCCACTTCAGTTTGCACCCCGCCTGCCCAGGGTGGGGAAGGAGCATGACGTGTCTAGCCTGCCTTGGTTGCCCTTCTCTCTTTCCTTCTGCACTTTTTCTACCCCTCCTTCCCTTCCCCACCCTTGGATAATTTGGACCCTGTGCATGTGCTGGCAAACTTCATCTCTGAAAGACGCAAAAAGGGAGCGCCAGGATGTAGCATGCTAGAGGAATCCAGCTGATCTGAAGTCCCTAAAGGTTAGGGACACTCCTCTCCCCTGCCCCAGGTGGGAAGGGTTGAGAGCCGGAAAGTTGAACCACCCAGGAACAGAAACCTGAGCCCCCTCTCCCCTTCCCGAGCATTTCCCACGCCCGCATCCCTGACGGATCAGGCATGTCTTCCCAAAAGTGCCGGGAGGTGCCGTGGCAGCCCTGGTGCCGTGGGGAGCGGGGCTCAGGGGCCGTTCCTGAGGCATAGGAGTAGCCCTGGAAGGCAGTGAGCCGGTGTCCTGGGGTGGAAGGAGCCAGGGGGGTGGCGGGGTGATCCTTGCCCTTCTTTTTTGGCTGTGCTGTTTTGACACTCTTTGTTGCTTTTTATTTTTTAATTTTAATTTTTTTTCCCTTTTGTTTAATGTTTAATTTCTTTTCCTCCAGCCTGGTCGATGTGTTTTTCGATATTGTTTTCCGTCCGCTGTTTTCTTCTCTCTCTTGCGCAGAGACTGGTGCTGATGAACATGCCTGTGGCTGAGGACATGACGGTCCATTTTACCTCCACCTTGATGGCGCTGATACGCACGGCCTTGGACATCAAAATTGCAAAAGGTAAGGTCAGTGGGGTAGAGAGGGGACAGAGCTAGGAGGGTTTCAGAGTGACCAGCACTCATCCTTTAGGCAGGCTGAGGACATCACAGCCAAATTGGGGTTGTCCGCCCAGAGCCTGGCATGTGGATGGAAGTGATTACCTTGAACAGGCAAATTTCTGCTGCTCTCTATAAAAAACCTATTTCTTTAGGGAAGAGGTGGCCAGTTTTCCACTAGAAGCTGCTTCTAGAGACCAGAAACAGCTTGATGTCCACCGTGTAAAGGGGGAGAGAGAGAATTCCCCTTCCTCCCCATGTACAAAACCAAACCAAGGAGGGAAAAGATCACATGTGCTTGACTTCCTAAGGCTGGGAAACAGAAATCTCTCTCTCAGGGAAGATAAAATGTTCAGAGCAGGAAAACCTGCTTTGTTGTTGTTGCTGGAAACGCTCTGATTCATCAGATCAAAAGCTTTCTGCAGAAACATGCCATTTTCAATGAAACGTCCCCTGGGAACAGCTCAGCTGTTGGAGAACAGAGAACCCAACCCACGGCAAGATATCAGCAAAAGCCCGGTGCTGAGACAGCTCCTTGGGTTCGAGCCCCTCTAGATAAAGCAGAGATTTGAACCTGGGTCTCCTACAGCTCGGCAGAGTTGCCCTGGGCTCGGGTGTCTCCGGTTGGCACATATTGACAGCTCCCTTTGAGCCTGGGTCTTCCTAAGCTCAGCAAATCCCTTCACCACTGGCCAGAGAACTCTGCTCTCCTTGCACAGCATCGCCAAGTATTTAAGGATTTCAACCAAGTGGAGCTGCTCTTTCACCAGCACATGATCTGCTCACCAGAAAAGAGAAAGTGGGGCAGCAGCAGGTGTGTGTGGGCTGGAGTAGGATTGGAGCCGCAGAGACGGACCCAAGGCGAGCTTGAAGATGGCAGCTTTGAGTGGGAGGGCAGGGGATGGGTTGATGGAGGCACATATGGAAGGGATGGTAGGAAAGTTTCCCTGCAAGAGTAGGAGACCAGGCTCGGTGGTGCAAGATGGCCCTCCCAGCCCAGAGAGCTGGTTGCTGCTTGTGAACCTCACTGCAGGATGGGAAAGGGGTGTTTTTAGTTGGACACTGGTGCCTGGTCTTGATGTACGTGGGCCATGTTTTTTCCCCGCTGTTCAAGGTGGTGCAGATTGGCAGCAGTTAGACTCTGAGCTTCAAAAGGAGATCCTGACCATTTGGCCTCACCTGTCCCAGAAGATGCTTGACCTGTTGGTACCTATGCCAAAAAGTGAGTCTCTGCAGAGGCTGTCATCGCTTCCAAATTCCCGTCATACCTGCAGCAACATCTTCCCAAAGGGAGCTGGGGACTGGTCAGACCTGTCCCCAGCTGGGGGAAGAAGTGGGAAAAGGGTTTGTGTTGCTACAGGCTGGCTTCTGCCTTCCTCTGCCTGGCTGCTTGGGAACCCTCTTGAAAAACACCCAGTTTGCAGAGATCTACTCCTGCCAAACCCAGTCTCCTGTAAATCATCCCTGGAGCATACAAGGGCAGGATGCTGAGCATCGCTTGCCCCGTTACATATGATGATGTGATGAAGATATGTGTCTTGGTGGTTTATGATGATGCTTTCAAGCCACCTCCATCCATTTTATCTCTACGCGGAGTGTCTGGGTATTCATCTCTCTCTCTTTTGGAGCGGTGAGCAGAGTTTGAGGGTCACCAGGGTATCCCATAGCAGGGCTTGTCCCGAGATCCGCGCTGGTGCCTTCAGACCTGCTGTTTCTGTTAACACACAAGTGTCCCCACTTTGTTCCCTCTTATGCTCTCAGCCTCTGACCTGACTGTTGGCAAAATATACGCAGCCATGATGATCATGGATTACTACAAACAGAGCAAAGCGAAAAAGCAGCGGCAGCAGCTGGAGGAGCAGGTGAGGCTCAGCAAGGGCATGCGGTGGGCAGGACAAGGATGTTCAGAGCACCCTCGCTGCTTCCTACCACGTCCCAACCAAATGTGTTAGCCAGCTGCATGGGATGCAGCTGAGGGATGAAGATGGTGGTACAGGTTGGGGTTTGGTGACTACAAGGCATGCATACGTACATCCTCGGTCCCCAGCAGTGAACATGAGCACGCCGTCGCCTTCCCAAGCGGTGGGGCTTGGCTGGTGAAGCACTGGATGTTCATCTGCATTTCCTACAGGCTCAGCTTCTTCCTTTCTTCAATACAGAAAAACGCCCCCATGTTCCAGCGCATGGAGCCGTCCTCCTTGCCGCAGGAAATCATCTCGAACGCGAAGGCTCTGCCCTACCTCCAGCAGGACACCCTCTCAGGCCTGTGAGTATTGCCCTGAGAAGAAGGGAGGTATTCCTGTCACTTCTCTGTTCCTGCAGCCCTCGTTTTGTTCTCTGGAGCTGGCACTGGGATGCACAGAGGGTTAAAGAGCTGCCAAGAGCAGGGGAAACCCAGTCCAGGGCAGAAAGCTCCTGGCACAAAGCTTTTGCAGGATCCCACGTAGCTGGTGTGTGTCAGCATCACCAACAGCAGTGGAGGTGGCCAAGAGGGATGTCCAGGTGTCTGCATGGATGCTCTTCTTGCAGGACCATCCCGGCACTAAGTGCAAATTCTCTTACCTAGGAGGGTCTGGGATGGACCTGAACCTCAAGAGCAGTTGAGCAGCGGGTTCCTGGGTGCTGCAGGGTTGGTGGGGGATCCCAGAACCCTGGCTGGTGGGAATGAGATGGTGGGAGTTGCTGGCACTGCACTTGGGATGTCCCACTGCTGCCGCGGGACCTGGGACACTGGTGTCCTCACCTGCTCGGGCACCACTTCAGCTGTCCAAGAAACAACATGTTTTTCCTGGAGGTCTCAGCCTTGACAGCCTGGGGGGCAAGCACAGGGGCTCCCCAGCTCTGAGCCACTGGAGAGGCGATACTCAGTGATGGCAGCAACCGGCTTGTGGCCTCCCTGAAGCTGGACCATCTTTGCAGGAGCAGCCGGAGCGGGTTCCCCTCGCTAAGCCCGCTCTCACCGCAGGAGATCTTCCAGCTGGCGTGCATGGATCCAGCCCACGGGCAGTTCCAGGAGCACCAGTCTCTGGTAAAGTCACACACTGCCTGGCGGGCACTCGCCTGTGGTCCCAGCGAAAATGCTGGTGGGCACAGAGGTGTGGGACTGCCGGCACAGTGGGGAAATGCTGCTCCCTGCCCCTGTGGCAGCGAGCACAGCAGAGGGATGGCAGCTGCGGGGTCACACACAGATCTGAGCAGGGGACAAACGTCCCTGGGTATCCCCCAGCTGGGGCTCTGGCCCCTCGTCTCTGTCCAGGCGTTGGGGATGTAGTCATCCCTGGACCAGCCCTGGCCGGTGGGGCCAGGCAGCAGCAAGTGCTTTGGGGGCAAGAGCTGTGACCGGGGTCCAATGTCCTGCAGTAAAATATCCTTCTCTTCACAGGCTGCTCTTTTTTCCACTGAGCGCTCATTTCAGTGGGTTACCCCATGCTGAGTGATGGTATCTGATGTTTTCAGACTCATGTTCATTTTGTTGTCAGTGCTGGTGTCCCTAATCCCAAACCAAGCTGTCAAACTGCCTCCAATGGGAGCACACCCCTCCGGCTTCACACACATGACGGCCGGCAGCAGCAGTGTCTGTCTGTGTGTGTGTGTATATATATATATACATATCTATATATCTCTCTCTCCATGTCTGTGTGTGTGCATTCGCGCACCACCCCGACGCTTGTCGGATGCAGTGTTGTACCACTGTGCGTCTCCAGCCCGGTCCGTGTCCCCGGGGTCTGTAGTACTCTGTGTGAGCTGTGTACCGTGCAGGCAGGCGTCCTCTGCCCCGGCCACCCTGACCATGCCACCGTCCTACTGGCGGGAAGGTGGCAGATGAGGCTCCCCCCTCCCCATAAAGTCACCTTCTAGCAGATCTCCAGGGTCACGCCCTGCCCATCTCCTTGACACCACGTCCTGTACAAAAGAGTCCCCTAAATCAGGAATTAACCAAAGCGCAAAGGTGAAACGATCGGCATGCTTTCTTTTAATGGGGATGTGGCCAGAAAGCCTTTAAGGCACGGTCAGAGAGAAAATCCCCTACGTTTATCCCCTTCTGGCACAAGGAGGAGGAGTTAAAGCCTGGGCAGTCAGGGCATCCCCAGATCTAGGCAGGGTTTTCACTGCCACTGAAGAGGTGCAAGACGAACTGGCCATCAGGCAAGCCTGAAGCAACACATCTGGGCTCACCTGCAATGGATTGTGAATCGTAGATTATTTTTCGGTAGCAATATGACGGATGATATGTCTTAGACTCCCTTTTTGGCCCCACTTAAATTCTGCCCCCGGTTGAGCGAGCAGGGCTGCCCTCTGCAAACGGGGCAGAAGCAGCGCGCTGCCCTGCTCCAACCCCATCCCAAGAGCTTGGCTGTGTGTTTATTTCCAGGAGCCAGAGGTTAGGGAGTTTCAAAGAGTGCAGCCCTCTAACCGTGGCAGCTGCCTTCCCGTGGACACTCAGGACCACGCTGTCTCTGGGAGGGCCTCCTCCATGCCTCGTCTCACTGTGGATCCCCAGGTAAAACCAAGAAAAGCCCCCATGGGTGCCGGGTCCAAGCAAAGCCTACCAGGTAACACTGGGGCTTCTCTCCACGCTGAGCAAGTCCTGCGGCTTCCCCAGTGCCTCAGCATCGGAGCATCTCCCCACCTTTGGGGTGCTGCACAAGTAGGAGAGCTGCTGTTCCCCTACATGGGGGACACCATCAGCAGAGAGCAGCCAGGGAAATTGATCTCCTGGCTCACGTGGGAGGTCCACAGTGGAGCAGGGCCACGCCAGGAGGTTGCAGGGTCCCCCCACGATGGGACACCCCTCCTTTCCTCCAGCCCCGGGCACTGGCTGAGGTTCAAGGAGTACCAGCCCCGCTGTCAGATGATCTCCCAAGTGATGAAACACCTTTTCCTTCCTTTCCCATTGTCCCAACACACACGCTTCTCCGTCTGTCCAGGGGAACCCAGGCCACATCTCACCTCCTCATTTGTCTGCCCAGTTTCTCTGTTGTTCTGTCTTGTACTCAGCCTCCACTGAGACACAGATGCTCTTATGGGGTTCGGTTTTGCTGTGAAGTCTCTGGGTCTGCTTTCTCACAGAGGTCCTGGTGTCAGTGCTGGTGTGACATGTCATGGCACTGTGGGGGGACGTGAAGAGGAAGGGAGGCTTTGCCTTGTGGGCTTTATTGACCATTTGGCAGCAGGAGAGATGAACAGAAGGAGAGGATGGGAGCAGAAAGGATATGGTGAGGGGAGAGGAGACAGGGAGAATGGCCTGAGGTTGCAGAGGCAAAAAGCTGCTAGAATAAAGTGAAGGAAAATATAGAAGGAGGTGATGTTTTCCACAAAACATGTGAGAACACAGCTAGAAGGAGGGGAGAAGGTAGAAAGGAGAAGCATGGGAGAGAGAAAGAAAAGGAGAGGAAAGGTAAAACAACAGCATGAGCGGGGAGAGAGGGAATGAGTGCAGGGGATGGGGATGCAGGAATAAATGAGGAACCAAGGAGGGGTCTGGAAAAGTGGCAGCAGCCAGGAAAATAAACACCGAGCGAGGGGCACTGGAGAATCCCCTTTCTGTCAATGATTTCTTCTTCGATGTCTCTGTTTGCTCCACTTGACCCTGTTTTCAAGGCGGGGAGGGATGCTGAGACGGCCTGGGGGGGCAATGGCCTGGTACCCTCCGTGTCCCCATGCCTGGGGCGGGATGCTGCTGCTCTTCCCCCAACATGCTGCGCCTTGGCTTGAACCATAGTCACTGATCTGCTTGTGGAGCACAGTTCCCAGCCAGCTGGGGCAGGGGAGCTCACAAGCATAAAAGCTAAATCCCACTTTCCTCCTGCCCCTGATTTGCACAGAGATTATTTGGGGGGCTGTTCTCAGGCTGGCCGCCCCCCCCACCCCGAATCTCCCCATCCCGGAGGTTGGTGTGCCAGTGATAATGGGTGAACTGGTAATTGCTCGAACGCAGTCCCCCCCAGCCCTGCACGGCGCTAACACCATCCCCGGCTGGCCGGGGTTGCTTGCAGGTGGTGACGGACACCAGCTCAATGCGGCGATCATTTTCCACCATCCGGGACAAGCGCACCAACAGCTCCTGGCTGGATGAGTTCTCCATGGAGCGCAGCAGTGACAACACCTACAAGTCCCGCCGGCGCAGCTACCACTCCTCGCTCCAGCTCTCTGCCCGGCGCCTCAACACCGACTCGGGTGAGCAAGGGTGGGTGGCCCCATCCCACACCAATGCCAAAAAAACCCTCAGCCTAGCATCCCCTGCTCCTGGGGAGGGTACAATGGGGACTGACGGGGATGTGCTGCAGGCCACGGGTCCGACGGGCATCGCTCAGGCGGCAGGGAGCGGGGCCGATCCAAAGAGCGCAAGCACTTGCTGTCCCCTGATATCTCCCGCTGCAACTCTGAGGAGAGGAGTCCCCAGGCGCATGACGAGTCACCGGAGCGGCGGCGCGAGTCCCGGTCACCCAGCGAGGGCAGGTCGCAGACACCCAACAGGCAGGTGGGTGACAAAAACCCCTTCCTAAGCACAAAGGGAGGCATAGAAAAAGCTCCTTGCCAAAACCAGGAAGATAAGCCCCAACTCCAGGAGCTCTGTGCTGTCTCTCCTCCCTACGGTGGCATCTCCCTGTTCCCCTTGAGCTGAGCAGGCTCGGGCTGCTCTGGCACCCTGCAGAGCATTTGGGGAGAGGGGTGGATCTCCACACTGATCCTCTCACCACTGTGGCATCCGTTCCCTGCCAAGGTCAAAGTGTCCCAGCTACACAAGCCTGGAGATGCCTGTGCTTGAGTGTGCTTGAAGCCCACGGAGATGCTGCCTGTAGAGACCAGCAGCTGGTGAGCCGTTAGCTCTTTCTGCAGGGAGTTTGTAGGTGCCTTTTACTTTTGCCCACCAAGAGCATACACCATCCTCATCCCTGGAGCAGACCCCGAGGCAGGGATGGGGCAGGCAAGGGTGCAGCGGGGCCTCATCCAAGCGGGAGGATGCTCCGGGGACCCCAGGCTCAGGGTGGGAGGGAGTGGGTGCATGGCACTGCCCATTGCCCCTGTATTCCCCAGCATGTCTTGGTGCATTGCAGGGAACGGGCTCCCTGAGTGAAAGCTCCATCCCCTCCATCTCGGACACCAGCACCCCCCGGCGAGGCCGTCGCCAGCTCCCACCGGTGCCCCCCAAGCCGCGTCCCCTCCTCTCCTACGCCTCCATGCTGCGGCACACCGGAGATGCCTCGCTGCCCGCCGAGGAGAGCGAGGGGGGGTCCCCGCTTCTCTCCACTCTGGAGCCCAATGCTGCTGGCCTGACCGAGTCTTCCAGCTCCCCGGTGGGGAAGCAGAGCCGACAGTCCACCCCGCAACGCTACATCTCGGAGCCCTACCTGGCCCTGCACGACGACTCGCACGCCTCAGACTGCGGTGAGGAGGAGACGCTCACCTTCGAGGCGGCCGCCGCCACCCGCCCCCGCCGCCCCCACC